GGCGATTTACCACACAGTCTTAGTTTGTGTCTGTTACTATCATCCCCCCAATGATGATAGTCACCACGCTGATGGTGGCGATGGATAAGCTCACAGCGTTTTGGGCGAGTATTTATTTGTACACGAGAGTTTATTAGTGCGTGTGTTTGACTTTCATCCTCAGTACTCTGATTTGATGATCTGGTTTGATCTACAACAGTCAGTCAGTCAATCCTAACCAGGATTGAGATTACACACCAGTGTTCTGCTTGATCCAGGAGCGGAAGGAGGCCACCGAGGTGAAGACATCGGGGCGGCCGCGGGCGCAGGGAATGCCCCAGCTGACGACGCCAATCTGCTGGCCACCGCTGATCAGCGGGCCGCCAGAGTCGCCTAAAAGATAAGAGAGTTAGAATCGGCGCCCAGAAACCTGGAGCACATTAAACTTCACTCNGGCGCAGGGAATGCCCCAGCTGACGACGCCAATCTGCTGGCCACCGCTGATCAGCGGGCCGCCAGAGTCGCCTAAAAGATAAGAGAGTTAGAATCGGCGCCCAGAAACCTGGAGCACATTAAACTTCACTCACCTTGGCAGGCGCCCTGACCGACGCCCTTGAGCGTGCAGACGTGACTCTGGAAGACGGGGTAGCCGGCCAGATTGGCCCGACACTGACTGTAGCTGAGGACGCTGAGGGTGATCTGCTGGAGGTCATTGGGCAGGCTCATGCCCGGGTAGCTGGTCAGGCCCCAGCCGGAGAGGGTGGCGCTGGCGCCGCCGGCGGCCGGGCTCGAGGCGAGCGCGATGGTTCGAACGCGTCCGGAGAGGGCAATGCCGGAGCCGGCGATCTGCAGCAGGGAGATGTCGTTTTGGTTGTTGTTCCGATTGTAGGAGGGGTGGTTGATGATGCGCTGCACGCGGTACGTCTGCCCGCCGGCGTTCAGGCGGTTCGTTCCGACGACCACGGAGATTCGGGAGGGAGATTGTCTGGAGGAAGGAAAAAGAAGAGATTTGGGATTAGTTTTGGAAGTTTCGATTTGGGAGGCTCGATGTTTTCGTTTTCTGCAGCAGCAGCATCGAGGGTTCTATTTCTATTTCCACCTACCCGACGGTGCAGTGGGCGGCGGTGAGCACCCAACCGGCGCTGATGACGCTGCCGCCGCAAAAGTGCCGCCCATTGATGCGCAGCGACACCTGGTGCGGGTAGGCGCCCTCGCCCGCCTTCGTCCCGCCGACGATCTTCTCGTCCTCGGCGCCGACGATTCCGCCACTTCCTGGTCCTTCTTGGTCCTCTGAAGAGGACGGGGGCGGTGGCTCAATCTCCTGCTCCACCTCCTGTTCTACCTGCTGCTGCTGTTCATCTTTAGGAGGAGGTTGTTTTGAAGGAGGCCGAGGAGGTGAGGCGAGCGTGGCCACCACGAGAAGAGAAAGTGCCAGAAAGGTGGCGGTGAACTTCATGTTTTGGCTGTTGTTGTTGTTGTCAACAGTCAACTGAACTGTGATCCCTTTTCACCGCTTGTTTGGCTGCTTTTTATAAGTCCCTTGCTCGGTGAAAGGGTGTCATGACACAGTTTTGAACTACAAGCTAATCAGTCGATGCCACTTCCTCATTTCATTTTGGGTGGTGGTGGTGGTGGTGGTGGTGGTGATGATGATAATGCTGATGATAATGTGGTCAGTTGTCGTACAAACAATTGGCGAGTAATCAAAGATGGGTTAAGGCTGCCATTTTATTTTCCCCTTTCCCCTTTCATTTCGAAATTGAAGTTTTTCATGGCTTGTCTGAAGGTTGCTGCTGCTAGCGATTTCGCACTGCTTTTGGACACTGCTTGTTTGACGCACTTTTTGAATGTGTGTTTCAAGGCGTTTATCAAATTGTCGTTTTCCCCAGTCCCATCAATCAATCGATTGATTACTACCACTACTACTTTTGCTGTTTGTTCAACTGATGAGCAAACAGCAGTGTTAGCTAATTGCTGATGTCCGGTGTTGCTGCTGCTGCTGTTGTTGTTAACGGTGCTAACGGTGTCAGGTGAACACTACGATAGTGATAGGGTTTCCACGGTAATCAAACTCGGACTTTTTACAGCACCTTTTTATGACCTAGTGTTTAGTTTCCTTTTGCGCAGACACTGGTACTGCTCTTTTTGGGCATACAAATACTTGGGCATTCTAAACTCGAGAATCCTCGAGGAGCAATGTTTTTCCTCCAATACCATTACCTTCTTCTGCTCTTGATATTCCTGCTCCTTGATGCATCTTCTGCTTCAGCTTCAGAAGTTCAAAGTTCAGGACAAAGTGCTTCGACAGGTAACTGTACATTTCTTGATGGCAAAAATAGTGGCGGCGGCCATCCGATGATCATCAACGGCGAGGCGGTGCCGGTGGGCGAGGCCCGGTACCAGCTGGCCCTTTACCGCCACGGAACTTTTATCTGCGGGGCGGCGTTGATTGCGCCGAGGACGGCGATCACTGCTGGGCACTGTGTTTACGGGTAAGTTCTTTTTTGAGGAGTTTAAAATCTTAAAAATTTTTCTTATAACCTTCTTCTTCTTCATTTCGATAGATTCGACCTCACCGCTGACCACTTTTCACTTCGCCTTGGCAGTCTCAATCTGACAGATAATTCTTCTTCAGCCAAATTTGCCGCCGTTCAGCGAGTCGTCCTTCACCCCGCCTTCACCTCGGCCACCTTCAACACCGACCTTGCTCTGTTGATCCTCTCTGAACGGGTTCATCTTGACAATGACAGCGTTGGGCTGATTGAGATCTCTAAAGAAGAAAATTTTCCCCTGGAAAACGATCTGATCACCGTCCAGGGCTGGGGCCAAACCTCCAGTGGAACCACCTCCGAGTGGCTGATGAGGGCAAAGTTGAGGGTGAACAATTTCGAACAGTGTCGAAAGGTTTGGGCCACTGATGGACAGCCGGTTCTGGCGGGGTCGATGTTCTGCGCCAGTGGAGAGCAGCAGAGTAGTTGCAAGGTTTGCAGAAGGACTTGATTTTTGACATTCTTTGATGATGATCATCTCTTGCTGTGTAGGGCGACTCTGGCGGGCCAGTGCTTATCAGCAGTCCTGATAATGGCGGAATCGAGAAGTTGGTGGGCGTCGTCTCCTGGGGCTCGAGGTACTGCCTGGACGAGCGCTTTCCCAATGTGTACGCCCGGGTCACCGGAAAAGGAGAGACAATTCGAAATTGGATCGCCCTCAACACTGTTCACTAATTTCTGCTTTGACCATTTTCTGGTTATCATCTGTGTGTTGTTGTTGTTCTCTTCTGTACGACATGTGCTGCTGCTGTTTCTGCTGTTTCTATTTTTTATGCTGATAAGCCTGATCACCATGGAAACTCCACACTCCTAAAGTGCACAATAAAGGCGTCCTCAATTACTTTCCTTTGGTTTCCATTGAAATTGACAGTCGTAGTAATCATCATCAGCAGCACTACCGTTTTCAAGTGAGACGACTGTCGCACTCATAAAGAAAAAGTAGTCGCCGCATGATCAGCGGCGGCGACTTTATAGCTACGAGGACAATGCCTGTTTTCAAGTCTGTTTGTTCTTTGCTGCTGCTGCTGCTAATTATCATTAGCAGTCCTCAACTTCATCATCATCATAATTATCCTTAGCATCCCAAGCAGAGGCAGCAGCAGCAGCAGCAGCAGCATTGCTTTAAAATGCCAAACTCAATCTAGTCAGATCTTCTTTTGTGTTTCTCCTCTTTGCTCCTCTTTGTTTTGGTTCGAAAATCGGCTCTCAAAATCGGCTTCTCACCATGAGGCAAACTCCTGCTCAGATCCTTCTTCTCTTGACAACACTCCTTTTGCCCACTACCTCTTTCTGTCGGTCACTTCAGTCCATCAGCAACTCTTCACCTCCTCAACCTCCTCCTCCTCCTCCTTCACCACCACACATCAGCCCAAAGATAATCGGCGGCGAGGTGGTGAAGAACGGCGAGGCCCCGTACCAGGTGGCCCTCCTCCGGTCGGGCGCCTTCTCCTGCGGCGGCATCTGGATCGGCCCGAAGCGGGTGCTGACGGCGGCCCACTGCGTTCACGAGTAAGTCTTTTGAAGAACCTTCTAGGACCTTTTAGTAGAACCTTTCTCACTAAAACAAACCTCTTTCTCCTCTCTAAAACCCAGGTTCAAAGACCGACCGCAGCTGTTTCGCATTCGCTACGCCACCCTCTACCGAAACAGCGGCGCCGAGCTGCCCGTCAGCCGGATTATCCTTCACCCCTACTATAACACCTCTACTTTTGACTACGACGTGGCCGTCCTCTGCACCGAGACGCCCTTTACGGCGGGCGTCAACGCCCAGGTGGTGGAAATAGCCGCCGCGGCGCCGGTGGCCGGCACGCGGGCGGTGAGCACCGGCTGGGGGCGGATTCACGCCGATCCGCACGTCAACATGCCGCTCTATCTGCAGCGAGCCGGCGACCTGGCGGTGCTCGACGAGGCGGAGTGTCAGCGCCACTCGCCCGAGGTG